CATGTTGGTTCACCTCGCTCTTATCAGTCCGCCCTACTTTCTTCAAGACCATGCACACCTTTTTCCAACTTTAAAGAGGAAATTGTGAAAAATAATCACTTAAAATTGATCGATATTGACAAACTAATTTTTGTGGTCCACCGGAATGCGGTGATTTACATGAAATTTAATTAATTTAAATTTACCGGAAATACTGAAATGTAGTTCAATTTCATGGTGCAACTGGAAGTAGTATAAAACAGAAACAGGTTTTTGTCAATAAGCCTTATGAAGTTCCGATTTTTAGAAATCTATGGCACGATATTAACAGTAACACTTTATTAGAACAGAAGTTACTTATAGTCAAAGTTGGATTAAACCTTCACTTTAAACAAATATTCGTCAACATCCACCTACTCACTCTGTAGGCGGCCGTCTGTGGCCAGACATTAAATTAATATTGGAATTGTCTCGCTAATAAAATATACAATGCATAATCATTGTGATACCGGTCTAATTTTAGCAACGTTATTGACGTTGATCCCACGCATTGTTATACGAATAGCAACCGAATCTTTTCATTGAAAATTGATTTTCTGTAGCTACTCTGAGCACTCTTCAAAGAGGGAGACGGATACCTAATATTTAAACGGGAAGGAACATGTGAGATTGAATATAATAAACTCGTTACCAATGTTACCAATGTATCAGAAAATAAATGGAAATAATTGAATTGTAACAAGTGGGAACTGGATTTCTAAAAATATCTGAGCTAGAAATTTCATTACGATTTGTTTGATTGTGGGCAGATTCGCCTTGGAAGTCCCCCACCCTCCCCCTGCCCTTTAAGACTATCACCAGTCCTCTACAAAAAAAAAAGCTCAACTTGACTGTTATTAAGAGTACTTATATCAGAAATAAAAAAACAAAGAATTAATTTCAAAACAGTAACCCCTCGAAAGAAGGGATTAATTATGACTACATCCAACTAAGAAAAGCGACCAAGTTTGACCATTATTTCTTAAAAAATAAAGCTTATTGTGTACAATATTTTATTGGCGTTATTTAAGGGATAGGTGTAGATTAATTAGAAATATTGTGATATAAATGGTGACCTACCTGTATAATACATTTGAATTTAATATTTAGCTATATGAGCTCATGTAAAGTTCTATTGTCGAAAGAGGAAGTTAAGATGCACATGTTGGAACATTGAAAAAGAAAAAGAAACAAGGATATGGACAGTGAACCCCTCGAAAGAAGAATTGAGAAAGAAAGTGTTCAAGGAAAAGTTGTAAGTAATTAAATGATTTGAGATAGTACCTGAATAAATATTTTTGAATTACCATGTTTATAAAAAATTGCAATAAGTATCACACGTTTCAGTGAATAGGTAATTTTACAGAGTGGCACAACGAAAACGGAACAAACTAAATAAATAGTTTTTGGAAAAAAACAGAACGATTTTCTTTGGAAGAGAGACATGTTTTACTTAAAAAATTACACCCCTGGCGTCAACCCCCCAAGCAGGGTTTCCACCCCCCCCCAATAATTTTAAAATGAACTGACACGATTTTATTTCAGTGAACTAGACGTACTTATGTTACGTAGTCTGTTGTATTTACTTGAGCCTTACGGTTAAGCGTACCTTCCAAAAGATAGCTCGATTTTGAAAGATAAACCATAGGGGTGTAGGAAATTCAAAGCCCCTTCCAATTTTTAATTTAAAATTATTAAAGGTTACAACCCTGGTTAGGAGGTTGACGCGAGGAGTATAAATTTTTAAATAAAAGATGCCCTCCTTCCAATCAAACACAACCTATTTTTACGTTTTTTCCAAAAACTATTTCCTTACGAGTTATTTAGTTTGTTTCGTTTTAGTTGTGCCACTCTGTATAAAAGTGCCATTTTGGACTTGTTGCACTTTATACCTGCATTTTATGCAGCATTTAGCTAAAAATGCTCTAATGCAAAAGTAGTAAACCTGATTTTGTTTCTCAGTTTTACCAAAAACGTGTTACAGTTTGGTTGTTAGGTATTAACTTTGTTACATTACATGATATTTTACCGCAACTGGCAGTGGAATGAAGCCAGGCGAGGGTTAGCCCCACCTAGAACCCAGTATTGTCTGGAAACTATGCGGTTTTTGTTTAATAGTTTTAAAACGAAAAATAAATCTACCCAACTCAATATACCAGCGGCGGATTTACCAGTATGGCGAGTAGGCTAATGCCTAGGGCGACAGCTTTTAGGGGGCGGCACATTTGGCCTAAAAATTTTTGTCATACAGACATTACAAAAATTATACAGGGTGAGTTTTTACCATGGCGAGGATCTCGTAAAGCATACCTTGAGAGATACTCTTCTTGCTGATGGTACTAAAATAAAATTTTTATAACTTGTGGGTTTCGAGTCAATCACATTCACATTCTTATTTCTTATAAACGCCATCCAAAATTTCAACAAAATCCATCGATCCCTGAACTCGGAAAATTGCCAACGTACGTAAAACAGACGTAAAAAATATTTGCTCAAAATGATCTTTAACGTCGACCTTTGATGAAATTTTGACCAGCTCAAAAAACGGTGATCGCAATAGCCACCTAGTTCCAAGGGAAGCTAAAAAAAACGCACCCTGTATAAATAGAGAAAACGAGTCTCAAAAATTGAACAAAAATGTCAATATTTTGGTACTGTACACTGTACGGTATACCGAACATTCTAACGTATGTATATGAAATACTTAGTTATTTTTATTTATGGCCGTTTGCACCAACAAATTTAAGCGGTGCTTAGCTTAAGTATCCCTTAAAATCCATGGCAACCATTGTCTCAATAATCGTTGCCATGGATTTTTAGCTCTGCTTAAGCTAAGCACCGCTTAAATTTATCGGTGCAAACGGCCATTACCTACATGAAAGTTAGGAACGAGGTTAGGAAAATGATACATTAATGGCGAAGAAAGATTGAAGTACGAGTTCTTTAGTTTCCGAGTCAAGTAGTGTCATTTTACTGACGTTTTTGATATTAAATTTTACCCAGAATTGTATTTTAATATAAACTTTCAATTTTCATATAGAGCATTTGATAAGTGCCAATCTGTCAGTGATGACAGGAGTCATTATAGACATTTAGTAATGTGACAGGTGCGGCCAGAAAAGTGACAGTTTCGGCCGGTAAACTGACAAGCGGCACCGCAGCAGGAAAAGTAGTCTGGTCTGCCTCTGTCATGGAAACTAAAATTTACTGACGTAAAGTAGGCACTGATTAATTACGATTACGGGTCAAATTACTAAACGCTCTGTAAAATATACTATTGTGATCATGCATTTAAAGTAGGTACCTGGTACCTATTCCAATAGCGTTCCAATATTACAATTTAAATTTTGTAATTTTATATTTTTATGTCAGCTGTGTTCATATTGGTGTCAGAATTTTTAAGACATACCTTACTCCACCTTATAATTAGCACGATTGAGCTTGTTTTTAGCTCAGAAGTTATCAAAAATGTATTTCTCGTGTAATTTTCAATAAAAAGTGGATTGTAAAAATAATCTAGAATCTGACACAACTAGTTCATAATACTCATGTCAATAGCGGGAAAATGTTGATGGAATGAATACGGTAGAACCGAGGGTAAAACACAATAAAGTTGCAATTTCATTGTCAGAATAATGTGTAATTAAGGTGAGTGCGAACTACGAACTAGGGTATGAATTTCGGTTGGTCAGTAGAATCGGCAAAATGGCAAATTTCTAAATCCGCCACCGTACTATACTACATGCAAATTACAATTAATTTGTGAAACAGTGAGGAATTCACGTTTATATGCACTTAAAAAGTCGGTTTTGGACACTTATGTAAACAACATACAAGGAAACAAAATATACGAAGTATCACCATAAAACTTACATTCCTCACAATATACGGGGTGTAGAGTTTTCATAAAGTCCGTTTCACATGCTAAAAGTGATACCATGAAAGTCGAAAGTGTGCTTTACATGATTCTATTTCACTTTCAAGTGAAATTTCGCTAATACCAACCTAAAAAATATAGGTTAGATGGAGGGTTAGACCGACGCCTTTAATAACTTGTTTCTCCTTTATTTCTATGCAGTTCTAATTTTCACCCGTCGACACAAATTTTATTTTTGAAACGAAAAAGGACACTTACTTTATGTGCTTTTTTAGAGTGACTTCTGGATCCTGTGAACAAAACCAAGCAAGGATACCAAAATATTCTTTGTGCTACAAAAATTAGAGCACTCCGAGGAGCACTCATAATATGGGGATTGTTATGTAAAAGTAATTGTAATTTTCAAAAAGAAAAGGGCTATACATTTATGTGAAATTAAAGGGTGGGATAAAAACTGCAAACAAAATCAAACAAGGACATTTAAATATATTAAGTACAACAAATTGGGTAGATCATTTACTGATGTTATTAAACAATAACCAAATATCTTCATTTTGCTTTTTTTCTAATACCCCCATAGAAAAATACTTGCCACCCCTTGGTTACGGGTCTGCCCCTCGGTTTTTAAATGAGAAGTTGACGCATTTATCAGGAAGATTTAATAATTCTCTGTACAAAAGATATCCAGTTTTCTATAATAGTAATATCTAGAAAGCTGACCTCGTACCTTAGATAACATTTATAATAGGTACACGATCAATTATCGCGTTTTCTTAGTCATACCCAACGTTTCCCGAACGTTTTACTACCTTGAGAGTCTTGAGTTTCTCACAAGGTAAAAGAACAAAATAAACACCCTCTGCATGAGTACGTTTCACCCCTTACATTTAAAACCCAGCAGAGCATGTGAAGGAATCATTTCCGGCCACTTTGCAAGTTGCGTTTTGTTAGTGCACCTGTTTTGGATATAGTAGTCATTCTTTTGTTTGATCGATTTTTCTTACCTTTATCCTACTGGAATACCAATTATCTCAGTAACCTTCCTCAATGCAAACAAACAATGGACTTACGTAACAGTAGATGAAATAAGATGTTGTCTACTTACATTTTGGCAGTTCGGCCTATTACTTATCCTCGTAAATAAATAATTAACATCCTTTCACTGCCCGTTTTTTTTAAATAAAACGTCGAATTAAAGCGCGTACGGTACACAAACACTTATCGCACTAAATATGGAAATATCCACTACGGAACGACACTAAACAACGCGTCGATTAAAACATATGTCAGAATAAAGTGCAATAAATCCAGTTTTCAACATTTGCGACCGCCAAATTCCCAGATCGTCCGATAAATTTGAACTCGGAACGCGCGTCGATTCGGAACATGTGCGTCGCATGAAGCGTACACAACAAAACAAGATAGCGGTCTTTTTATTTCACCTTCAATTTACGCGTCGAAGAGTTTATTATCGTAATACACCTAAAGACAAGGATCGACCTTTCTGTTCTGTAAGTTGAGTTCAACCAGTTTAGAACTATGGCGCTAGCGGTTCTTCTGGTGGGCAAGCTGCGGTTATGGTAGGACGTAGGAAGTGCACAGTAGATGTAGAGGTGCTTAACATGTGTGAAACCTGATGTAAATTTCCGTTTTGGTAACTAGTACTTTTTTTTTAAAAGAATTTGGAAATTGTTTATTGTAAACATGACTTCATTTTAAATTACTGCAGGTCGTGCTCTAAAACGTTTTACATTTTTATGAACGCGTTTTGCGATATGCTAGCTACTGTAAAGGTAACATATACTACGATAACAAAAAGCGTTCAAACAATAGATAAGATAGGTACTACGAATGCCTACCTGTTTACTTAGCGCATTGTTTCTTCCGGAAGATAAGGATAATGGGGCCTGATGCACATTTTAGCTTCACTTAATGTAGGCATGCAGGGTCGTTCCAGTTAATTACAAGTGTTTTAAAATTAGACGCCGTGTCATTTTTCATTTAACTTTTTGACACACTTCGTATTATCATTGTATATACAATGGTATTATGTTCCTTTACGTTTATACTTGTTTTTTTCTAATTATATAGTTCATACGATGGGACATTTTTATGTAACCAGGTAACCTACCTTGTGATGAAAACGGTGATAAAACCTCGATAAACCGCAATAATTTTGATAGTTATTAACGTCATAAGGCCGATATGTAGCAAATAACGGACGTGATTGAATCAACCAAGCTAGTACGTCGGGTATATGGGGTAACCGATACGATTGACACCTTAATGGTAACTTTGGGCTAAATGTGTGTTTTCTTACTTGCTATTTTTCGATGGAAGTAAGAAATATATACCTACGGCTTCCTTAAAGTTTAAACTTTCACATAACATAAATCAGTTTATGCATTTTAATGCACCTTTCAATATAATGAATTGATTTATGATTTCTGATCAAATATTATAGTAATTGACACTTTCCGACATTTATTGACACCCTTCTTACCAGTTGTTGACATAGCTCTCTCTTCTTCTTAATACAAACATTGAAAGAGGATAGTAAAGGCCCAGGAACGGTGGGTCAATATACAAAGGAACATGAACAGAAAACTTTTATTTTTTGTAGGTACAAAAATATCTAAGGCAAAAATAGAAAAATAAAAAATGCATACCTATATGGCACAAATGGTAAGTTTTAAATATGTTCTTCACTTAACATTGCATTTCTATTACTACATGTATTGCACATATGTATATGGTATTTCAGGCACAGGTGTTTTTTTCAGAAGGCACGTCTTATGGTACTGTCTTTTACAAGAAATACATTTTATACCAGCCGCTCTCTGAGTTACATTTCTAATGCAGGTAAAGCACATTCCAGTAAAAACAGCAACGTTTCTTGGAAACAAATCTGTTTGGTTTCCTGGTTTTTCGTCTTCAGTTGCCGGGATGACCATTGATGAAATGATGTTTACCGTTTTCTGTTTGTCGTCAGAGTCGCAGTTTACCTTTTTCGGTTTGTTGTCAGAGTTGCAGTTTACATTTCTCTGTTTGTCATCAGAGTCGCAGTTATCCTTTTTCGGTATGTTGTCAGAGTCGCAGTTTACGTCTTTATGTTTGTCGTCAGAGTCGCAGTTGACCTTTTTCGGTTTGTTGTCGGAGTTGCAGTTTACCTCAATGCCCTTTCTTTTCCTTCCAACAGCCGCCTTTACTTTTTCAGCTGGTTTTTTGTTCCCTTTTTTTTCCAAGGATGTTTTCATTTTTAGGTCTCTACTCTCCAACCTTTTTCTTCTCCTTTCTTCTAGTGCTTCATTCTTCTCCCTTTTCTCTTGTATCTTTTTTTTGCATTTCTTTCCATGTCTGTGAAGTTATCACGAAAGGCATCCTTTCAGAATTTGTATTTCCCTTTCTTTCTGGTGTAAGTGGCCAGAAAAGCGTTTCATTCTGAGTACTTTGTTGCAACTGAATGGAAGTTACTTCTTCATTGGTGACGTCTTTGAGAACTTCTTCGCTGACTAAAGTTGTGTGTGGCTGGTAATATTCTTGGACCGATGGTCCTTGTCCTATATTGCCGCCAATGGATTTATTATTCGGGATGGTATATTGTATCCTTAAGTGCGACGGCAAGACATTTACATCTTCAGTTAAGTTGCTTTCGTCTATGACCACGGGCATGCTTAAAATATCAAACAAACCTTCTTCTTGGACAATTTTTTCTACAGTTATTTGATCAGCATCTTGCACCCCGAAAACAGTAACGTTTCCATCATTTTCGTTTGCCATATTCATGGGTGGATCTACTTTAAATCGATTAAATATTTTTTGGAGGCACTGGAAATATTTGTTGTCATTGATCGAGTTTTGCAACTCGTCAATAACTGCTTCACCCGCAATTTCTTTAAATGCTCTGAAGTCTAATGTCTGGCTACTTTCATTCACGACTTCTCCCATGGCGGCATCATTTCGTTTCCCAAGGCACTTCGAAAAATTGATGGCTTCAACATTCCAAGGAAAAAGTCCACAACTTCTAAAGCCATTTATAATAATGTCAGCATTTATACAATTTTCTATTACAGTCTTTAATATGGGGGCAAAATGCTCTTTTGTTAACGCATCTAATGGGTTTTTGGCCCGCCATTTCTGAACACCCTTAATCCAACCATTCTTTATTGGTTTGAATGCTGCAACATCTGCGGGTTGTAAAATTCGAGTGGAATTTGGATAGAGTGCGATCAGGACTATACCAAGATTAGTGCATAACTCACTTAATTTAAATGTCAAGTGGGTGCCATGTCCATCTACGAAATATATAATAGGGAATTTTGTTCCAATGCGTTTCAGATATGGATTTAGCACGTTCGCCACATATTCAAAAAAGGACTCCGCCTTCATCCATCCATTTTCCGAAAGTCCATAGCCCCAGTCACTTGGTAAGCTTTTTGCTATTTCTGCAGAACGCCTTTTGTTGGGGTATATGATCATCGGCGGAGTGATATTGCCATTTGCACCAAATGTGAACATTACAGTTAAATTTGCTTTTGCTTGCCCACCATCAATCTCATATACATTGCGTGTGCCTCTGGGTGCAATAACCTTATTTCCTTTTGACAGAGCATGAAACACGTCTCATCCCCATTGAATACTCTTGCGGGGTCGTTCAGGATGTCAAAATAGTTTTCTTCTTTTAAATATG